ACCTGAGGCTCCAAAAGAAGTTGTTCCTGAGAAAAAAGTAACAGTTCCTCCACCTGCTAAGGAACAGGAAGTTCCTGAAGAGCCAGAATCGGGGAACAGAAGCAACAATGCAACAGGTGGCATTGAAACAACACAACAGCAACAACAAGAAAAACAAGAAAAAGGACTTCAAAGAGAAGATCAGGAAATTGTAGAGAATCTACCCCATAATGATAAACAATCTGGTGTGCAAGCAGATCATAATCGTGGGGACACAGATAATGGCAGTGAACCAGCAGGAAGTGAAGGCCCAGGGAGTACGTCATCCACAGCAGGTAATGTAGACTCAGAGAGACCACAACAAAACACCCAAAAAGGACAGTCAACTACGTCATCAACTGAAGACACAACCTCATCTGGAGAAGGTGGTTCCAACACCACCAACCCACAAACTCAGCCGGAAAGTGCAAATGAAGGTGGTGACAGTAATACCAGTAATCAGACTACTGCAGCTACAGGTACGACTGGAACAGAAGGTTCACAAGAAAATGTCAATGCTGATTCAACGTCCACTACTACCACCACGACAACAACACTTCCTCCTGAACTCACAAACAACAAGAAGAGTGATGCAGACAGCAGCAGCAGTATCAGCAGTTCTGTGTGGGTGCGTGTGCCACTACTGATTGTGGTTACACTGGCCTGTATTCTTCTGTGCTGATTGTGTAATGGTGGTGCTGGTGTGACTCAGGTCATCCTTTGTTTTTTTCTTTTCTTTTTTGCATACATCCCTACAGTCTAACTAATCTTCCACCTGTTGGGATTATCTTTTCTTTTTTGTTTCTTAATGTTAATGTGTGTTTTTGCTCTCTATGCTTTTCCTATGATTATTATTATTGCTACTCCATTGTGTGTGTGTGTTCTTGGAGACTCTGTGTGTGTGTGTGTGTACTTGGGCTTGCACTGTGATAATTATGATGATGAACTGCTTTTTGTAGTGAGAAAATGAAATAATAATAACAGATGAATTTATATTTATAATTGCGTGTATACACATATAGACTTAAACCCATAGTTGGTATATATTTCTATGTGTTTACTGGGTATGTTGGGCTAATGGTTAATATCTGTTTTGTTTGTTTGCTTGCTTGTGGTTTGTTGTGTGCTTTGTCCTGCATTGTTATGATGGTCTACTTTGAAGAGAGAAAAAAAACAGTAATTGTTAGACATAATTTCACTATTGCTTATAAGCACCAGCATACCCAGCTTTCTGTGTAAATTGTATGTTTACTGGGCATTCGTTGTACTTTTTAATTTCTTTTTCTTTACTTCTTTTTTTTCGGTTTTTTTTTAGTGGTGCCTCTTTATTAAATGTCTTATTGTTTATACTGGTAGTGTTGTATTGTGTGACTGTTGTTTTTGTTGTGTTCTGTTTTACCACCATTTGTTTTTGTTTCTTTTGTGTGGTATCTTTTTTTTTTACTTTTTCTCTCTGTTCTCTTTTTTCTTTAACAAAGTGACGTAAAACAACCAAGAATTACTCTTTCCATGATGATGCGTCCCGTTGTGTGTTTGCTGGTTTTTCTGCTGAGTGTTGCCTCTGTATATGCGGAAGGTAACAGTCAGCCTGGTGCGGCAGATGGACTTGGTGGTACTGTTACTGTTACTTCTAAAACTCCTTGTCGTACTGAAGGTGACGCACGAATCTTTACTGCTCTCTATAGTGCAGAAGAAAACTGTCCTTTGGAAAACTCTCTTATCCCACGTGGTTCTGCTGCGAAAGGAGGTCAGGGTGGAGTCCAAGGACAAGTTCAGACGGATCGAACTGGGGTTCGTGAAGATGGTGCTGTTTCTTCAGATACCCAACACCGAGAAGTTCCAGCTAGAGACAGCATATCTTCATCATCAAGTGGTGCAGGACAACCGAGTACACAAGATGGTCCCACGAAACCAGAGACGACAGCACCAACTACGGAAGCACAATCACCTGAACTTGTTGATTCCAAACAAAACGAAACACAAAGTGAATCTGAAACAGCCCCAGATAACAGTACTGTTAAACCTGGTGATGATTCGCAGAATCCTTCACAAGCGACAGAGAATACTGCAGCAACGAATACAACTGCCACAACAGGCTCAGAAGAAACCAATACCACTACTTTGTCAAGCACCGAGAACACTACCACAGAAGCACCAACTACCACTCCATCTCCTTCACCTGTACCCAACGCAGAGATCAGCACCATTGCTTCCACTGTGAAGAACAAGGCTAATGTTGACAGCAGTATCAGTTCTGTATGGGTGCGTGTGCCACTAGTGATTGTGGTGGTATTGGTCTCCGTTACCGTGTATTGAACGGTGGATCTCATCTGAGGACAAATAATAATAATGGTTAAACCAACATAATCATATTTTGCGTACATCCCCCATGGGGTGAATAAATTAATAATCTGTTTACCAGCTTTCTCTTTTAATTATGAATATCTTTTCTTTTACTTTTATGTGTGTGGTTCTTTTTCTAATAATTCCATTACTTGCTTTTCCCGTTGTGTGTGTTTGCAGAAAACTGGGCTGTTCTGCTCACTGACGGTATACATCTCTTGCTAGTACACACAGATGTGTTTGTGGAGTAATTTAATACATAAACTAGAGCCATGGGGTATTGTGTGTGTGTTTGGCTCTCTCTCTTATTTGGGTAATGTGGTCTTCTTTTCTTTTCTATTAAGGGATACATATTATCATACAAGCGGAATATTCCTTTTTGTTGCTTTACTGTGCATTTGCTGTTTCTCTCTCTCTATTCCACTGTGAGTATTTGTTGTACTTCTGTATGTTTCTTTGTTTCTCTTTCTTGTGTTCCTCCTTCTTCCTTGTATTAGTCTACTAAAATAGTCAACAACGATGACAAAGGCTGTGTTGGGGAGGTGTTACCTGCTTTATTTACTAACTCTTGCACTGTGTTGTGCTTGTGGGTTAGTATGGGCTGATAGTCCTAAAGCTTCTGATGCCCTTTTTTAAAACTTCCACTGTTGGTGTTCCTTCTCTTGTTCATCATGCTATTCCTGTGGGTGTGAGACGTCTTGAAGATGTTGGGAACGGGAGCGATGAGGAAGATGATGATGTTGAGGATCTTGAAGATCTTGATGGTGATTACGACGATGAGGATGAGGATGAAGAGGATGAAGGAGTCCTGAGAAATCCCGCACTGCCGCTAGTGCTGAACCAAATGTAAAGAGTGATGTAGACAGCAGCAGTATCAGCAGTTCTGTGTGGGTGCGTGTACCACTACTGATTGTGGTTACACTGGCCTGTATTTTTGTGTGCTGATTGTGGTGGTGTGACTGAGGTCATCCTTTGTTTTCTTTTTTGCATACATCCCTACAGTCTAACTAATCTCTCACCTGTTGGGATTATCTTTTTCTTTTTTGATTATTAATGTTAATGTATTTTGTTTTATTATCTTTATATATGTTACTCTATTTTCTGTGTTTTGGGCTACTTTATGCTTTACCCAGTATAATGGGATGGTCTGTTTTTTGGAATGAGAAAATGAAATAATAATAACATGTATATATATACATACGTAATAGGGTATACAACTATTTATATTCACACTTGGTGTATTTCTTTCCTTTAGTTGGGTAATTTGGCCTTGTTATTAATTTGGTTTCTTTTACTATTGGTTTTTCGTGTGCCCCTTGTGCTTTGTGCTGCACTGTTTGGTTTCTCTGGTTTGTGTAAAGGAAAAGTCGTAAAATATATATATATATATATATATATTTATTTGTAATTGTATATATGCTGACAGACGAAGACACTGTTATTTATTTGTTTGCTTTCTTCGTAAGGTTTTCGTATTTTTGATTCATTATTTTTTTCTTTTTGTTTTTCTGGGAAATATGGGATTATCTTGTTTCATTCTGGATACTCTGGGCTTGATCTTTAATTGAACTATGAGTGATGTTGGAGTATTGTTTCTTCGGTGTTACTAATTATATTTTCGTTTCCTCCTCATGTTGTTTTGTGTGACTGGTTATTGTGTGTTGTGCTCTCCTTTGTTTATCTCTGTGTGTATGTTTCTAATGTATTGAGTGTTTGTATTAATTTTCTTTATCTCTTCTTCTTTCTTCTGCATTCAAGTGGCCTATAACAACAAACTAAATCTTGCTGTCGTGCTGATGTCTCGTGTGTTTTGTTTTCTCGCTTTGCTGTTGAGTGCTGTCTCTTTGTGCGTGACAGCTGACACGGGTTCTGAGTCTGTTCCTCTTCCTGATGATGGTCGTTGTCCTGATGGTTACACTCGTTCTGGTGATGGTAAAAATTGTTCGCGTACTTCTCCTCCTGCTATTCCACCACCACCACCACCTCCTCCTCATCTTCCTCAACTACCTGGTGGTAAACCTTGTGTTTCAGACGACTCTATTCCTCAGTGCTCCATTAGCGGTTGTGAAGATGAAGCTGCTCGTCAAAATTGTGGGACGTCTACTGGGTCGGAAACTTGCAATACTAACGAACCTAAGAAGGAAGACAGTTGCCGTGATGGATCTGTTGATACACATTGTACACACTCACTACAGGAACCGGCTCGAAGTATAAGTAAGCCTCAAGAAAATGGCCAGGTACCTGGTAACCCAGGTCCAATTGGTGCTCCTGGTGAACCAGGGGAAGGTGTAACGGGTGCTGCTGGACCTGGAGGTGTTGTTTCTTCTTCTTCTCTTGCTCCTGGTCCCACTCCTACACCTCCTGCTGCTCCTCAACCTCCTGAGAGGAGTGTTGTTGAGTCTTCAGTTGATGGCCAAACTGGAAGCAACGGCAACAATACAACACGTGAGAGTGAAAATGGAGATAACAATGGAATTACGGCAACACAACCTTCTGCTGACTCTTCTAACACTTCGCCCAGAGTGAGTGGTGATGGTTCTGATAATACAACTGCTGAGAGCGGCACTACACCTGTAGGGAGTGAGTCAACAAATAACCAAGAAGGTGTGGGAAATGCAGATCCCACCACCACCACCACAACAACAACACTTCCTCCTGAACTCACAAACAACAAGAAGGGTGATGCCGACAGCAGCAGCAGTATCAGCAGTTCTGTGTGGGTGCGTGTACCACTACTGATTGTGGTTGTGTTGTTCTCCGTTGCCGTGTACTGAAGGGTGGGACTCATCTGACGGTTAATAATAATAATAATGTTAAACTAACATAATCATAATTGCGTATATCCCCTATGGGTGAATAAACTAATAATATGTTTAACAGCTTTCTCTTTTAATTGGAATTCCTTTTCTTTTACTTTTGTGTGTGTGTTCTTTTTCTAATAATTTCATTACTTGCTTTTTCCGTTGTGTGTTTGCAGAAAACTGGGCTGTTCTGTTCACTGACGGTATACATCTCTTGCTAGTACACACAGATATGTGCAGTAATTTTATACATAAACTAGAGCCATGGGGTATTGTGTGTGTGTTCTTGGAGACTCTCTCTGTGTGTGCCTGGGCTTGCACTGTGATAATGATGATGAAATGCTTTTTGCAGTGGGAAAAGAGAAATAATAATAGCAGATGAATTTATATTTATAATTGCGTATACACATATATAGATTTACACCCATAGTTGGTATATTTCTATGTTTACTGGGTAAATTGGGCTAATTGTTAATATCTTTTAGTTTGCTTTAGTTTGCGTGGGTCATTCTGTGCTTTTGCCATGCACGGTTGTTGGTAATCTGTTTTATAAGAGCAAAGGAACAAATAGTAGTTAATACAATTTGTATTCGTAATTACTTGAACAAACCAGCATACTCAGTGGTCTGTGAGTTATTTTTGTGCAGTTTGTGTTGTTAATTTGTGTTTTTTTTATTTTTTTTCTTGGGCGCTGTGTGCTTTTTCCTGCATTGTTGTGTGTTGGAGTGTTTTGTGGGGAGAAAAAATGATAAAGAATACATAAGTATATATATATATATAATTGTGCTTGGTCCTACTCGAAGTGGCATTTTGATTTTATTGATGTGCCTGCTTCGGATGGTCGTTCTCTTTATTTTTATTTTTCTTTTGGGGCGGTTCATTGGGATTATCTGTTTGTTATTGGGTATTGTATGCGTTGTTCCTTTAATTTGGGCACTATCTGAGTTATGGTTGAATCTTTTTTTAATGTGTGTGCTTCTGCTATAATTATTGAGTGTTGTTTGATTTGGTGTGTATTCTTATTTTCTTGTTTCCATTGATTTACTTTGTTTCTGGTTTTCTATCTTTTTTATTTCTCTGTAAGCGATTGAAGTAAGACTACTACAAGAAGTATTGTAATGGTAATGATGCGCTACGTGCTGTGTATCCTCGCTCTCCTGCTCTCATGTGCGTGTGTGCACGTCCTCGCTGAAGAAGTGCCTGCCGCCGATCTTTCCGACCAACTCCCTGATACGGAGAGTGAGACAAAGATTCTCCTTCAAGGAGCTCCTCAGTGCAATGATGGTACTGGAGGATCTGGTGACAGTGAATCTTGTGCAGAGACTGCTGCTCCTGGTGTTGGTGCTAAAGGGCGTCACACCCACGGTCACCATAATCAGTCTGAAGGTAATCAACCGGGTAGTCCTGGAGGTAGTGTCCTATCTTCTCAGGCGAGTGAACTGGGTAGTGAAGTTGGAGTCATTACTCCTCAACACGGGAGGGAGAATGGGGAACGTGCTGCAGAGGATTCTGCAGGGGGAGAAGTGGATTCTGCAGGAAAGGGTCAAAGAAATCAACAGCGGCAAGAGAGCAGTCAAGATCCAAAACAAAGTGAAGAAGCAAAGCCTGGGGTGACAGACAACTCAAATAAAGAAGCTTCACCACAGCAACCTCAACAAACTGACGGCGCACCCAGTAATAATAGCGCAGTCAACACCAGTGCAGCCAGTGGAGAAGGTACAGGTGCACAATCATCTCTTCCTTCTTCACCTTCGCAAACTGATGGAACTGCGGAAGGTGGTAATTCTGCAGAGACATCAACGAATAACTCAGCGAGTACGAACCCTGAAACTGACAGCACATCCACTAATGAGGAATCAACTACTACCACCACCACAACAACAACAACACTTCCTCCTGAGTCTGCAAACAACAAGAAGGGTGATGCAGACAGCAGCAGCAGTATCAGCAGTTCTGTGTGGGTACGTGTATCACTACTGATTGTGGTTACACTGGCCTGTATTCTTGTGTGCTGATTGTAATGGGTGGTGGTGTGGTGGTGTGACTCAGGTCATCCTTTGTTTTCTTTTTTGCATACATCCACACTACAGTCTAACTAATCTTCCACCTGTTGGGATTTACTTCTTCTTTTTTTTGTTTCTTAATGTTAACGTGTTTTGTGTGTGTTTTTGCTTTCTCTGTGTTTATCCTATAATTATTATTATTCCTGCTTCATTGTGTGTTGTTGGAGACTCTCTCTCTGTGTGTGCTTGGGCTTGCACTGTAATGATGATAATGAACTGCTTTTTGAAATTTGGGAAAATGAAATAATGATAACAGATGAATTTATATTTATAATTGCTTGTATACACACAGATAGACTTACACCCATAGTTGGTGTATATTTCTCTGTGTTCACTGGGTAAATTGGGCTAATGTTTAATATCTGTTTATTTGCTTGATGATTTTGCTGGGTGGCTCAGGCTTTTTTGAGATATTTGTGAGTGTGGGCGTTTTTGTTTTTGTTTTACTCTCACTGAGGTTATTGCGCTGTATTGCATTCTTTAACTGGTAGGTATTTCTTTTGTGATGTGAGTTTCCATAGTGGGAATCGATTTGTGTGTCCTAACATGTTTGATACTTCATTTATTTTCTTTCTTTACTTTTTGATTGTCTTTCTTTCTAGATCAGTGTTTTTACGCAAACCAAACTATTATCTCTCTCTCATGATGATGATGATGTTCCGTGTGATGTGTGTGTTGGCCGTTGTGCTGTGCTGTACCTGCGGGTATACCATGTCGGCTGCGGCTGCTGTTGATAATGACAGTCCCAGTGGCCGTGGTGTATCCCGTGGGGCTGTGGAGGTGTCGTGCGGGGCCGGCGGTGCGCTGCGTGTACGCCCCGCTGCTGAGAGCGAGTGGCTTACATGCGGTGCGGGCAGCCGTGTGTCTGCATGTGGGAAGTACGCAGACCTCTGCCGCCAGCGTACCGCAACAAGAGCAACAACAACAACAACCATTGCTACTACTAATGCTGGACAGCCAAAGGCAGTGATGGCTATTGTTGACATAAATGCCGAGTTCTATACTACGTTTTCAGCAAGGGAGTCAAAAAGTTCTAGAAGTACGTTGTTATACAACAATACTTCATATAATCCGGAGAATGAGGTTAAAAGTACTAAATGGAAGGCGCCAAAGGTTGCGAGTGCAAGTGAAGCACCGGGAGAGGCCCCACCTGCGGAAACTACTGTAGTTAGAACAGAGGAAATTACTCCAGTTGAGTCACCACGTGGTCAGGAAGGTTTGTCAGAGTCAGCTCACCAAAGTAATGCTATTTCTCATGCATCTGATGGTGCTGCTTCTGATGTTAATCTTCCTTTTGCTGAGACTAATTCTGGCCATTCTACTGCTGCTGTTTCTCCTGCACCTGCACCTACCGAGAGGACTGAGCCTGCGTCGGCAGGGGACAAACAAGCTGCAAACAGCGACAGGAGTACAACTAACGCGGAAGGTGAAGCCAACCAAACCACTCCAGCTACAAGTACAACAGAGAACAATAACTCTGCAAACACGGACTCCAACAATGCCAATTCACCTAATAATGAGGTATCGACCACCACCACAACAACAACAACAACACTTTCTCCTGCCACCGCAGTCTCAGAAGGGAATGTCGATGCTTCTGCAGCCACCACCACTAACACTAATACTACCACAGAAGCACCAACCACCACTCCATCTCCTGTTGCTGCACCTAACCCAGAGATCAGCACTATTGCCTCCGCATTACAGAACAAGGCTAATGTTGACAGCAGTGTCAGTCCTGTGTGGATGTGCACTGCAGCACCGCTGCTGATCGTGGCTGTGTTGTTCTCCGCTACTGTGTACTGAACGGTGGGAATTATCTGAGGACAAATAATAATAATGGTTATCCTATTGTCATAATTGCGTATATCCCCCATGGGTGAATAAACTAATAATCTGTTTATCAACTTTCTCTTTTAACTCGAATTTCTTTTTCTTTTTACTTTTATGTGTGCGTGTGTGTGTTCTTTTTCTAATAATTCCATTACTTGCTTTTTCCGTTGTGTGTGTAGAATACTGGGCTGTTCTGCTCACTGACGGTATACATCTCTTGCTGCTACACAGATGTGTGTGTGGAGTAATTTGATATACATAAACTAGAGCCATGGAGTATTGTGTGTGTTTTTGGAGACTCTCTGTGTGTGCCTGGGCTTGCACTGTGATAATGATGAACTGCTTTTTGAAATTTGGAAAAAGAAATAATAATAACAGATGAATTTATATTTATAATTGCATATATACACACATATAGACTTATACCCATAGTTGGTGTATATTTCTCTGTGTTTATTGGGTAAATTGGGCTAATTAATAATATTTTTTCTTAGCTTTAGTGTGCGTGGGTCATACTGTGCTTTTACCCTGCATGGTTTTTGGTATTCTGTTTTATGCAGAAAAAAGAAAAAAATTGTAGTTAATACAATTTGTATTCGTAATTGCTTGAACACACCAGCATACTCAGTGGTCTGTGAGTTATTTTTGTATGATTCTTTCTGCTCTTAATTTGTTTTTTTTTTTCGTTTTCTTTGCTTGGGCGCTGTGTACTTTCTCCTGCATTGTTGTGTGTTGGATTGTTTTGTGTGGAGAGAGAAAAAATGATAAAGAATACATAAGTATATTTGTAATTGTGCTTGGTCCTACAGGAAGAGGCAGTTTGATTTTATTGCTGTGCTGTCTGCTTCTGATGGTTGTATTCTTTAGTTTTTTTTGCGGGGTGTGGGGTGTGTGGTAATTGGGATTATCTGTTTGTTATTGGGTATTGTATGCGTTTTGTTCCTTTAATTTGGGTACTATCTAAGTCATGGTTGCACCTTTTTTGCATGTGTGTCTTCTTCTGCTGTAATTGTTGATTGTTGTTTGATTTGGTATGTGTTTTCATTTTCTTGTTTACATTGATTCACTTTGTTTCTGGTTTTTCTATCTGTTTTGTTTTTTTCTGTAAGCGATTGAAGTAAGACTACTACAAGAAGTATTGTAATGGTAATGATGCGCCACGTGCTGTGTATCCTCGCTCTCCTGCTCTCATGTGCGTGTGTGCACGTCCTCGCTGAAGAAGTGCCTGCCGCCGATCTTTCCGACCAAGTCCCTGATACGGAGAGTGAGACAAAGGTTCTCCTTCAGCGGCGTGATGGTGATAATTGCCGTGAAGGTTCTGGAGGTTCTGATGACGGTGATTCTTGTGCTGAGGCTGCTGCTCCTGCTCTTGGTCCTGGTGTTGGTGCTAAAGGGCCTAACACCATTGGTCATGATCAATCTGGAGGTGGTCTACAGCACGGTCCTGGCGGTAGTGCCCTATCTTCTCAGGCGAGTGGACTGGGTAGTCAAGTTGAGGTCACTACTACTAACCCTACTAAACACGAGAGGGAGAATGGGGAACGTGGTGCGGAGGGTGCTGCAGAGGGAGAAGTGAATTCTGCAGGAAACGGTCAAGGAATTCAACAGCAGCAAGAGAGCAGTCAAGATTCAATACGAAGTGAAGAAGCTACTCCTGGGGTGAAAGACAACTCAATTTCACCACCTTCACCACAGCCACCTCAACAAACTGATGATACATCCAATGACAGTAGCGCAGTCAACACCAGTGCAGCCAGTGGAGAAGGTACAGGTGCACAATCATCTCCTACTTCTGCATCTTCTCAAACTGATGGAACTGCAGATGGTGGTAATTCTGCAGAGACATCAACGAATAACTCAACGAGTACGAACCCTGAAACTGACAATACATCCACTAATGAGGAACCAACCACCACAACAACAACAACACTTCCTCCTGAACTCACAAACAACAAGAAGGGTGATGCAGACAGCAGCAGCAGTATCAGCAGTTCTGTGTGGGTGCGTGTGCCACTACTGTTTGTGGTTACACTGTCCTGTATTCTTGTGTGCTGATTGTGGTGGTGGTGGTGTGACTCAGGTCATCCTTTGTTTTCTCTTTTTTTATTTGCATACATCCCTACAGCCTAACTAATCTTCCACTTGTTGGGATAATAATCTTCTTTTTTTGTTTCTTAGTGTTAATGTGTTTTTGTGTGTGTTTTTGCTCTCTCTGTGTTTATCCTATAATTATTATTATTGCTACTCCATTGTGTGTGTGTGTGTTTTTGGAGACTCTCTCTGTGTGCCTGGGCTTTGCACTGTAATAATGATGATGAATTGCTTTTTGAAGTGGGAAAAGGAAATAATAATAACAGATGAGTTTATATTTATAATTGCGTATATATACACATATAGACTTACACCCATAGTTGGTGTATATTTCTGTGTTTACTTGGGTAAGTTGGGCTAATAATTAATATCTGTTTTTTTTTTTGCTTTGTGGTTTTGCTGGGGCATTGTGTGCTTTGCCCTGCAGTATTTTGTTGATCTTCTTTGTGCAGAGTAAGGTAAGGGAGTAACAGATACATCTATGATCATGATTGCGTATACCCTGCAAAGTGTATCCATAGAAACGTATTTGTGTGTTTTCTGGTTCAGGTCATGGTGCTCTGGGATTCTTTTCTTTCTCTTTATTGGGAGTTTCTTTTTAATACTGGGTAATGTTTGTTATTTTCCTTTAATTAGATTCCTTCTAGGTGATTTTTCTGGATTTGTCATTGATTATCTTTTCTTTACTTCTTCTGTGCTCTTTTGTATTGTTTAGAATTTCTCTCTCTTCTTATTTCTGTAGAAGAGTGAACTTAGAGAGTATTGTTAATTTTTATAACAATGATGGTGCACCGTGTGTTGTTTTTTCTTGCTTTGCTTTTGTGTGTTGAGTGTCTCTGTATGGCAGCTGCAGAGGCTCAACCTGGAAATGAGGATGTTTCCCCTTGCCAAGACGGTGATAGTGGTAGTGGTTGTGCTCGTACTTCTGCTGCATCTGGACACGCTGATAACAGTTGCGAAGATGGTGGTAGTTGTTGTGCTGCTGGTGGTGTTGAATGTACTCATGGTTCTACGTGTAATTCTAACTCCAGTATACGTAACGCTGCTCGTACGGAATGTGAGGAATCTTCTGGGGAGGAGGTTTGCCCTACCAATGGTGGTGACACTCAAGGGAATTGTCCTTCTGCTGAGTCTGGTTGTAAAAACAAACCACAAGAAGAGAATCATGCTAACTCAAATGAAATTCGTGGAATTAATGATAGCGGACGTCAAGGTACCTATGGTCAAAGTCATCATGTAACTGACAAGGGACCTAATACTGAAGGACGACAAGAGGATCGTGCTCACCCAACTGTTGCTGTTGTTACTCCTTCTGACAAAGAGACTGCGGAAACTCGGGAAACTCAAAGTGTAAACGGTTCACAAGATGCTGGTTCTTCTCCCGCTGCGGGTACTGGCGGTGCTCCTGCCGCTGACGGTCAAACTGAAAGCAATGTGGTCAGT